AAATAAATAAATAAATAATTTAGTTAATTTTAGATGGAGAAAGGAAGCAAGAGGCATATGCCTATGGGGGCTGGGGCTGTGGGAGAAAGAAACAAGGATCAGTTCCCTCCTGCGTGACCCCTATGTATATCCAGTCCCAAACCCAGGCAGGGGACTTGACTGAGACTGGTTTGTATCTTCGACCTCTTAGTGGTGGGTTGATGCTTAGTCAACTGACACAACCATCCAGGACCGTAGATCACGTTAATACAGGGATCCATGGTCAGGATGGTAATGGTAGTGGTAGCTCACAGGGGCAGTGGGACCCTGAGGACGTTTCCTGCCGCGGGGCCCCTGTTTGTGGGAGGTGGGTGTCACAACACAGCAAAGGGACAGAGTGGTCATGTAGAGTGTTGAAGAGAGATAATGGCTTTGCAATGGTCAAGGCCTTTAAAAGATGAGTGGACATGAGATGAATTGGAGGCTGAAGAGTAATTCACACAGGATGAGGCTAGGTCTGGTACATAGTTACTTCTCTTAACACTCACCGGGATTTTTGCTGTGACCCTTGGTGTGGCCTGGGGTGTTGAAGCCAGACTTTTGGGTTAGATTAGAGGCTTGAGAGGTCATCTGTGAGACTCACTGGGCTTGGTGCAGAGGGCCATCGGGGCTGGGACTTGAGTGACGGGTAAGTAGAGAGATGTTGGCTGTGACTCCTGAAGGGACATCAAGTGCAGCACCAGGGGAGGTGGCCTGTGGGAATCTGAGATCTGATTGTGTTTCTCAATAATTGAGGTTGAAGGAAAATAGAGTCATGGAGAGAGGCCTTCATAGCAGGACTCCAGGCTGCCTCTATGAGTGTGGACTCTCAGCGTCTGGGCAGGACTTGATCCTGTTTGAATTTGGCAACACCTGCTGCGTAATGAGTAAGAGGCCAAGGAGATGCCTGTGGGGGTGCAGGTGTGAGAGAGGTGTGGGAGAAAGAGTGATGTGCCCTTGGTGAGGGAGTGAGAATTCATGGCCACAGGGCCCTGATATTCATATTCACATAAGAGTGAATGAAGATGAGTCCATTTCTTTTTTTAAAAAAATATATTTTATTGATTTTTTACAGAGAGGTAGGGAGAGGGATACGGAGTTAGAAACATCGATGAGAGAGAAACATCGATCAGCTGCCTCCTGCACACCCCCGACTGGGGATGTGCCCGCAACCAAGGTACATGCCCTTGACCGGAATCGAACCTGGGACCCTCCAGTGAATTCATGGCCACTCCATCCACTGAGCCAAACCAGTTAGGGCGAAGGTGAGTCCATTTCTGCTGGTGTCTGGCTGATACAATAAGGGGGATTTTAGGGAAATTGCCTGAAAAGAGTGGTGTTGTGGTGCTGCGTGCCAGTTCCATATGTTTGCCATTTACCTACCCTCCTGTCTTTTTTTGTTGAGGGCTGACCCACTGATCTATTGGAATGAGAGCATAAATCAGTGTTACCCGCGCTTGAAATTCTCCACTGGCATGGGTGAGAGAGAAGGGCAAGAGAAAAATAGATTATGAAGGTGGTGAACTACAATGTTGGAAAAGATGATTAGGAAATAAACTGTGCGCATCACGGCATATTTGTGTTACATTCGGAAAAGAAGATGATTAGGAAATAAACTGTGCTCATCACGGCATATTTGTGTTACATTTGACATTGTACCTGTGGGAAGGAAGCTGTGTGAGAGACGTGTGGTTCCAAGAATATGTGCAGCAGGTAGTGCAAATTGATGGCCTCAGCACCCTGGGACCGGGGCTGTAAGGGTGAAGTGTGATCTCATGTTTTTAGTGTCTTTGAGGACAATCTTGGGGACTACAAAGGTATTGCCTGACAAGACCAGTATCAAATTACTCACACTCTCTTTATGGCCAGTATCTCACCCTATGTTCCTGACACCCACTCTATTGACAAGAGGCAGTGTGGCCTACATGGGAGGCCCAGAGCTCAGGTATCTTCTCTCTGCTCAACTGCCTTTATTGTTGTGGGAAGACAAAATATCAGTAGGAGTTTAAGAAGACAGTGACTTTGATGGTTCAAAGACCTGCTGTCTTCTCTGATGTGTGGAGTAGAGGAAGCAAGTGGATGTGGAGGGTGGGGAGTATGACAGACTTGGAATCTTAGGAGAAGATTTGATCATGGGCTGTGCTGTCCCCATTACAACAGGATATGAACTTTGAGGACGTGGCCATTGCCTTCTCCGAGGACGAGTGGGGGCTCCTTGATGAGCCTCAGAGACTTCTGTTCTGCGATGTGATGCTGGAAGTGTTTGCACTTGTGTCATCTGCAGGTAAGACCTTCACATTCCCCCAGTGTCCTGAGGTGATGTCCCTTAGCCAGACCATGGGCCCTGCTAATTGCCCCACTGTCCTGTCAAATGCGCTGTGGCTGCTAGGGGTGAGCTCTGTGGAGAGCCCTGAGCAAAGGACTCCAGGAATATCCCTCACACCCGTTGCCTCAAAAAGTACAGGTAGTGTCCGGGAGTCAGGAGTCTCCCAGTGAGCTTACTGGGTCCCACCTTGCACATTCTCTTCCTGGGAGGGTGACTGTCCACATATAGGGCTTCCACTTCTTCCCCCTTCCTCTAGCTAAAGATTCTCTGTGACTGCCTGTGCCAGGTTATGGTCTTTCCTGACATGAGCCATGGCCTGTTACTGTAAGACCTCCTTAGTTGTTTGTAAAATTCTCTTTCCTGAACACTATTGCCAGAACTGCTACTGCTCGCCTCTTCATCACCTGTCCCTCTGCACTGCTGCCTCTGCAGTACTCCTCAGCATGGACCTGCACATGTGTTATGAGGTGCACATACATGCTTATGCAGTCCTTGAAACCACCTACTCCTTTATTGAATTTTACTTGGAAAAAGACCTATCCAACCTCCTGCACAGCTTGCCCCTGTCACCAGCAAACAAGCCCTGCTGAGCGCTGTTAGCAGAAGACTGAGCTGGAGGTCTGGCTTCTCTTCCATGTGGTCCTTGCCATGTGTGTGTCATATTTCTGGTGAGGCCTTCCCTGTTTTGTGATCATCAGTGGCCCAGACTTCACAGCGGCCTCTTATTAATCCTTCCTGCTCCTCTCTTATTTTCAGACAATTGCACGGAACCCATGTATTATGTGCAAAACACTTTTCCATTTGGACTTCCCCTGTCACCACAACCAACATTCATTTACTCAGTATTTCTCTGTTTGCAGGTTGTTGGCATAAAACAGATGATGCGGAGGCCTGTTCTGAGCAGAGTGTATCTGTACAAGGGGAGTCACAGGTTGGTGCTTCTGAGACAGAGCCAGCATCCCAGAGGACCCATCTCTGTGGGAAGTGTTTCTCTGTGTTAAAAGACATTCTGCACCTGACTGAGTCACAAGCAGCAGACTTTGAGCAGAAAGCCTTCTTCAGTGACGCGTGTGTGAGAGACTTCTGTTTCAGTGCAAACCCTCACCAGCAGCAGAGGGAAGCCAGTGGAGAGAAGCCCTGGAAAGAAGCTGTGGACAGGGCCTCGTTTGTGACCAGGTGCAGCTTCTACTTATCTTGGGTGCATTCACCCAATAAGGAGGTTGGGGAAGACTTGCCAGCCATCTCAGAGCTTCTCGAGCATCAGGCCCCTCTCAACACTGAGGAGCCACACAGTGGCAGTGAGATTTCACAGGAATTTCTCAGTGGAGAAAGTCTGCACCAGTGGGATGAATGTGACAAAGCTGCCGGCCACACCCAGAAAGTTGTTCCTCAGAGTGTCTGCTCCGGAGAAGTGAATTATGAGTGTAACAAATGTGGGAAAGTTTACAGACGAATCTCTAACCTCATTCGGCATAGGAGAGTTCACACTGGAAAAAAACCCTTTGAGTGTACGGATTGTGGGAAGGCCTTCAATCAAAGGTCTTACTTTACTAGACACCTCCGAGTTCACAGTGGAGAATGGCTTCTCTTCCATGTGGTCCTTGCCATGTGTTGTGTCATATTTCTGGTGAGGCCTTCCCTGTTTTGTGATCATCAGTGGCCCAGACTTCACAGCAGCCTTTTATTAATCCTTCCTGCACCTCTCATTTTCAGACAATTGCATAGAACCCATGTATTATGTGCAAAACACTTTTCCATTTGGACTTCCCCTGTCACCACAACCAACATTCATTTACTCAGTATTTCTCTGTTTGCAGGTTGTTGGCATAAAACAGATGATGCGGAGGCCTGTTCTGAGCAGAGTGTATCTGTACAAGGGGAGTCACAGGTTGGTGCTTCTGAGACAGAGCCAGCAACCCAGAGGACCCATCTCTGTAAGAGGTGTTTCTCAGTGTTAAAAGACATTCTGCACCTGACTGAGTCACAAGCAGCAGAC